AAAGGTTTTTTAGGAAACTTAAAAACCTCGAATTCGCCATCTTGAGTATTTACTCCTTTTCATTTATGAGGATTTTTATCTTTAGAACCGATAGGTCTACCACGTTTGTGTTGTGCCCGTAATTCATGATTTGTGGTAGAAGGTCCTTTAGGGACATCAATTGGGGCAGGAGCATTAACAGCTAGTATATGTGATTTAGTCACACGTTTCAAGTCAGTAAAATTATCTGGCAAGTGATTTGCTAATCGTGGCAAATGAATTATCTTTTGAACTTCTAGTTCACATTGCCTTGTACGAGGATCAAGATAAGATAATGAAAATTCATTCCAACTAATATTTTTAACCAACTATTTATTTTCTCCCCCTAATGTTGGAAAAACGGAAAAATCGGCATTCATACCCAAAGGTTTGGGCTCACCGTCAGTTCCACGCTATTGATTTCTGGTTAGTCAATTTTATCCTCACTGTTTGAATTTTTTGTCAATTCTACCCAATTGGTCTAATTTCCGTTAAACTTAACGGATTTCCGTTAGTTTTTAACCAAAAACACCTTCATAGTTTCAATAAATTATAAAAATAACCCTAAAAAAATATAAAAATGACAAAATAGTCCTTTTTATTCATTTTTTTCTATTTCCTCATTTTATTTCTCTTTATTACTTTTCATAACCATCAAAATATGCTATATGATCTTTTAAAAAATAATTATTTATTTTCAAAATATATTTTTCATGTACAACACATGTGATTTGGGTTGAGGGGTAATTTTATCATTTTATTATTAAAAATTTTAATTTGTCTTTTTATTCGTCTTTTTTTTTGAGATTCTTTTTTTTTTTTTATATATTTTCTGACTTGTATATATTGATAATAGAATAATTATTGAATTTTAATAATTAATTTACCGTTTCATTTCATAGATTATAAAAACTTTGACATAAAGAAAATGAGGAAGAAAAACTTAAGTTGAAATAAACATGAAAATAATAGTTTATCATTCTTAAAAAAAAAGCAAAAGAACCTTTAAAAAAACTGCAAAGAAAAGTCTTTTCTTCTTAACTTCCTCTATTTAATAGGTAACTCACGAAACATAAATTTTACTAGATCTAGCCTAAAATGATTATTTTTTTCTTTGTAATAAAAATAATATAAGTCATGTAGTATAATTTAGTAATTATTTTGCTAAAAAATAAAAGTATTTATCTTTTTCATGAAATTCAATAATTGCTTATGTTGTTTAGCAACCGCCAAAAAAATTTTATTAAAAAAGAATAAAAATAGTATTAACCAAATTTACAGAAACGCATCATTGTGGACTAATTAAATTAGCACCTTTTCATGTTTCAAATGATTGTCTAATTTTATATTATTTTTATTATAACGAACTAAATAATTATTTTAGTCTAGATCAAGTAAATTTTATGTTTCGTAACTCACCTATGAATTAGAGGAAGTCAAGGAGGAAAGACTTCTCTTTGCAGATTTTTTTCTTTAAGAATTTTTCAATTTTCTTTTTAGAATGATAAACTATTAATTTTCATGTTTATTTCAACTTGATTTTTTCTTCCTCATTTTTTTATATTAATTTTTTTTATACTCTATGAAATAAAAAGGTAAATTCATTATTGAAATTTAATAATTATACTAGTATCAATATATACAAGTCAAGAAATATAAGAAAAATAATCTCAAAAAATAACGAATAAAAAAATAAAATTAAAAATTTTTAAAATTTTAAAATGACAAAATTACCCCTCAACCCAAATTTACATGAAAATTAGATTTTGAAAATAAATAATCTTTTTTTAAAGATCATATAGTATATTTTGATGGTTATGAAAAGTAATAAAGAGAAATAAAATGAAATAGGAAAAAAATAAAAGGGACTATTTTATCATTTCTATATGTTTTAGGGTTATTTTTATAATTTATTGAAACTATCAGGGTATTTTTGGTTAAAATCTTTAACAGAAATTGGGCCAGTTGGGTAGAATTGACAACAATTTTAAACTGTAAAGACAAAATTGGCTAACCGAAAATCAATAGGGTAGAATTGACGATGAACCCAAAGCTTTGGGTATGAACGCCAATTTTTCCTTGGAAAAACTGACTCATCAAAGTGACAATCAACGAAACGAGCCGTAAATAAATCTCTAATTTTTGGCTCAAGAAATTTTATGATTGATGGAGATTCATATACAACATATATTCCCAACCTCCTTTGAGGTCCCATCTTTGTGCGTCATGGTAGAGCAATAGGAACGTATACCGCACAACCGAAGATTCTAAGATGGGAAATGTTTGGTTCCTGAGCAAAAATCAATTGTTGGGGAGAGTAATCATGATAATTTGTTTGCCTGGTACGAATTAGTGTTATGGCATGTAGCACAGCATACCCTCAAGAAGATATTGAGAGTTTATTTCTCATAAGTAATGGTCTCGCGATCAACTGGATGTGCTTTATAAATGATTCTGCCAGACCATTTTGTGTGTGAACATGAGCTATAAGATGTTCAACTTTAATCCCAATTGACAAAAATAATCATTAAAATACTGGGATGTGAATTCACCAGTATTATCCAAACATATTGTCTTAATAGGATTATTCAGAAAATATGCTCGTAACCGAATCAACTCTCTAATTAATTTTGTAATGCCAGGTTGTGATTTGATAATAAAGATACATGAGACCATCTCGTTGATGCATCAATTAAAACCATAAAATAGCAAAATGGCCCACAAGATCGTGAATATGCCCACAAATATCACCATGTATGCGTTCTAAGAATTGAGGAGATTCAGTACGAATTTTTATTGGTGATGGCCTTATAATTAGTTTGCTTTGAGAATAAACAGCACAAGAGAATTTGTTGGCTTGAAGAATCTTCTGGCTCTTTAAAGAATGGCCACATAAATTCTCTAAAATTCTTCACATCATAATAGAACCGGGATGACCCAACCGGTCATGCCAAATAACAAAGTCATTATGATTAGTAAACTTCTGGTTTACCATTGCATAACCTTCAATTGTAGAAATATACGTGTAACCGGAGGAATATGAGGTAATTTTTCTAAGACATTTTTATTCCCAACAACATTACTCATAATACACAAGTACAAAATGTTACATTCACAACAAGTCTCTATATGATATCCATTTCGGATAAAATTTTTAAAACTTAACAAATTTCGTTGAGACTTTGGAGAATATATAATGCATCATTAATGCAAAATTTAGTACCTCCAGGTAGCATTATATTTGCTCTTTCGGAACCTTCAATTAATTTTGTACTTCGAGATATTGTACTAATATGGGATTTTTCAACACTATATGAGAAAAGTATTTTCTCTCTTTGAGTATTGAATGTGTTGTTGCAGTGTTTGCTAGACTTATTTCATTGTCATTGCTGATTGCAACATACAGTATCTTCAAAAGTAAAACAAAGTTCTATATAAGAATATTTTTCCTTTATTTAATACAAAATTAAAGTAATGGACAATAAAATTAACATAAGTAGGAAATGTTTTATTGAAATTGATCAAATGAAAATAAAATTCATTACATCAAATTCAAAATATAAAATCTATCTCTAAGGGAAAAATCATGTCCCTGATAGACATTTTCAGCATTGACTTCACCTTCAGGGTGATTGACAAAGAAATTAGCAACATCGAAACTAGTAAATTCAGTTAAACCATTGTCAACAAAACCATGGTTTACATCAACAACATCATTCTGGAAGAAATTTATCTCTATCTTCTTTTCTGCTTTCTTCAGTGATTCCTGATAGAGATCTGCAAGATGTTTTGGTGTACGACAGATACACGACCAATGGTTCGTCATTCCACATCGAAAGCCTTTATCACAATCTTTCTTCTTCTTTCCTTTCATATCATCATTGATTCCCAAAGTCTGTGGGTAGTATTTTTGTTATGACCACCACGGGCGTTATGACGGCTTTGATTACAACCACGACCGCAGCCATGACCATGGCCTCGAACTTGTCCATTATTAGGATGTGCTGCTATAGCATTTGCTTTAGGAAATGGAGCAACACCCATTGGACGAGCCTCATGATTTTTCAGCAAGAGTCATTGTTTTGTTCAGCAAGAAGAAGGACAAAAATCAATTATGTATACTTTTTATATCCCTCTTCACGATATTACCGCTGCAGGAGTACATTAGATGCGTGAAATGTGGTATATGTTTTCTGTAGCATCTCTACATCAGAGATCTTTTCACCACACAATTTCAATAGGGAAGTGATTCGAAACATAGCTGAATTATATTCACTAACAGATTTAAAATCTCGCAAACTCAAATGCATACACTCATAACGAGCTCTTGGGAGAATAACAGTTTTCTGATGGTCATACCTTTCATTCAAACTCGTCCATAAAGTATATGAATCTTTCACCGTCAAGTACTCTGCTTTTAGATCTTCATGAAGGTGGTGACGGAGAAAAATCATGACTTTTGCTTTCTCCTGATTTATGGCATTGTTTCTAGCTTTGATTGCTTATTCTAAACCATATGAAGTGAGATGGATCTCAGCACCAAGAACCAGAACAAGTAGTTCTTCCCGGATATGTCAAGATGAACAAATTCAAGTTTTTCAAGGTTAGACATCTTGATAAAAGAAACAAAAACAATTGACAACACTTACCCAACAGAAATTAGCAGACTTGTGCTGATAACGTGTTATGCATATAAATTGAAGAACAAAACTATAAAGTGGGAGCAAGAACAAGAAGAGAGAACAATAGAGAGGGAGAAAAAGAGAGAATAATCTGTGTATTATTTCTGCAAAGACTGATCTCCTTTTATAGGCATAACAGTTACAAAAATAAGAGTAAATAGAGATAACATCTAACTGGTTATAAGATCTAATAAATATTATATATATACAAAGACTTTTTGTACAAGTCTATTAGTTTATGGGCATCCATATTATGAAGATAATCATAAGAAAAAACGAATTTTAATCTTATTAATCAAAACCCACCATGCTATTGAAGAAATAGCATAACTTAATTTCTCCATCCCAAAAAAGAGAAAAAAAAACCAAAAAAACAAGCATATTACATTGCTCATTCCTCTTCTCCCCAAGGCCAAAAAATGCGCCAATTAATATTACACGAACCAACATTGCATCTTGTGTAACGTGGATCCTTAATCACGATGTTCCAATGACTGTCTGCGAACTTCCTTTTAGCTGCTTCTTTTCTGTCATACTCTAGCTGTGCTCGAAACTTGTCTTCCAACATGCAGAATTCTTGCAATTGTGCCGGCATTTTGTCGTGGATTCGCCACCAGATTCGATGCGCCTCGTCGCTTGCAAACTCATGCATTTTCCCAACATTCCAGTTGCAGTCAAAATCCCGGGGACACATCCAGGGCTTGTAGTATCCCAAGTAGTGAATCACGAAAATCGCGGGCGGTTCCTCTGCAATGAGCTCGGTTTTCCTTCGGTTGATCTCCTCGCTTTCGTATGGTAAGAAGTTCTTCAAGAAGTTCATTCGTACCGGCATCCGATGCCACCATGTGAATATCTCATTCACGAATCCTTGATCGCCTCCGCTGTAGGAATCGAACTCGTAAATATTGTCCATCAAGAACTGAAATGTACAGTTTGATGGTTCTATCACCATCAAACCAGCATTGAATAATGTGGCATGGTTTCCTCTGGCAGTGATTTCAGGCATCGTGAAAAGCGAATCGATGCTTCGAAGGACAAGCAAGTCGGAATCAATGTAAATGATCTTATCATAGTCTGTCAATTGCCATAACCTGAACTTGCTGTAATTCCATCCATTGTAGGCATCTTCTTTAGCTTTTGGATTCCTGATTCCTTTTATTGTCCTGACTTTCCATCCTGCCATCTCAAGCCCGATCCTGTGATGATCAGTGATGTTGTCATCAACTAAAGCTATGAGATCTTTGGTGGATCCGGCCATCCGAATGCTTTGCGCCGTCGCTATCGCCCCGCAAACAAAAAGTTGCGCTCCAACTAAGATTGTAGCATATGCTTCACGTTGTTGCCTTCTCACTGTTAACTCATGTTCTGTTTTATAGCAAAAACAGAACATGAACCATTCGGGTAAGTGATTAAACACGTGTTAAATATTGAAAAGCGTAACAGGCAAAATGGAACCGAATAATGAAATAAAAATCCAAAAAGTTATACCTCTGACTCCAAGTGGAAGTGCAAGTTCACAGGATCCAATGGGGAGCTGAGATCTCTCTGTTATGAATTTGAGGTTTGGTTTGTACAACCAAACATTGCCTTGACGCACGACACGTTCTTTACATGGAAACAAATTCGGGACCGGAAAACACTTGGTGATGAACAACAAGTGCATAGGAAACAGCCCTTTTGCTGATGTTACTAATCCGGCGGCAGCCAACTGCAAATGCAGCCTTGGAACATCCCTCATCCAATTCTTGTTGTTTAAGCATGGGAGCTTAACTGCGACAAGATCGAGCCGGTTTTCTGGCACGTCGATTTTCGGTAGTGAAGGGCAGCTTGGGAGTTCAGTCTCTTGTTCTTCATCAATCCATTCTGGATACAAGGTACTCCAGGTTATATCTTTATCAGCGTAATCTAAGTGAAGGACAGTGTGATTGGCAGAAAGGATCAGCTGCTTCCAACCATTGATTTCAGTGTTGTTGAAATTGAGGAGGCCAATTCCATTTACTCCATCCTTTTCAATCAATTGTTCCAGAACTTGTGAAACATCATCCCAGTTGATTTCCAAATGTGAAATGTACCTTGAATCTGATGTGCCCAATAACCTGGTTATAGAAAATCAGGCCCACATTAAGTACTTTATGGTCAATTTGGTTAATGAAAGAGCAACACTAAATCATCCAGTGAAATGATTCAATTATTGATGTAGTAATCGAGAAAATGCAAAAGCACCCTTTAATATACTTTCATTGAACCAGAAAGACAAACATTTCCAATGAGAGGTTTGATATATAATTGATTTTTGAAAAGGTGTTCTAACTATCTATCTCGCTTATTGTGTATTAACTCTAATATATCAATAAAATGAGATTAAAAATTAAAAAGTGAGATGAAGTCTAGAAAAAAAAAACGCAAAATAAAATCATAACTTACTGAGAGACGGCTAGTGACAAATTTTCTTGTACATAAACAGTGGGGGAGGTGAAAATTCCTAGAATTGTCCCAAGTATAACAACAAGCAGGATGAATTTGAAGATATGATTTTTGTATCTTAGATTCCTTTGTTGAAAAGTGATCTGAAAAGACTTCTCAACATCTCCAACTCTAAGCTTCTGTAATCTCCTTTTATATGTATCTTCCCTGCAAATAGCCAATTTTTTGGAATAAATCAGTAACAATTACAAAGAAAATTTGCAACAATATTTACATGAATATATCACCAAGAAACAAAAAAGAAAAAGAAACTAATTTAAGGCTTAAACAACGTGTCAGAATGTACCGGAATGACTTACACTGATCTATGTCTTACATCCATTGAATGGAGAAGCAATCTTTTCAGCAAAATGTGTTAACCAGAAGAAACTGAACTCACTTTCTTAACCAATTTATAAGTGGTTAAGTGGAATAAGTAATGGAACAGATTCTATTATAGCTAAACAAATTGATGCTATTCCAAAAAATCCCTGGTTGGAAATAGCAGCACTTAATGAAATAAGCTACAAGCTATGATTTTCTTTAGCAAATATCTTGAATTCAAGTATGGAGTGATTTTAGAAACCAGCAATTAATATAATTATTTTCACGAACAGCGAGTATAAGTTTCCAAAAACCTGTAATAAACTCTGTTGATTACACATGTACTTCTTTTAAGATTTTTCCAATCAAATTAAATTGCATAACAAACGAAACTGATCATTTACCTTTACAGGCTGTGCTCTTTTAATTTAATGTTTATCACATGTTTCATTATTTACGTATGTACAAGCCAATGTAGTTAGGGGCCTTTTCCCGAAAAAATTAATTAAAATAAACGTGAATAAATTTGAATTTTTTAAAATATTAGTGGACAAAAATATATTTCTCGGATTTTGGAAGATTCAGATTTCGTAAATCCGAACCTATATTTAATAATAAAATAATAATTGAATAAATTTTGTTGAATAATAGTTTATAAAAATTCCTAAATGAACACTGCCGTTCGAATTTCCGGAATCCGAATTTAGTTAAAAAATAATAAATTGAGGCGCGAAATATTTGAATTCAAATGCGGAGTCCAGGACCTGGACTCCTAAAGTGAGCAGTGGTACTCGGATTTACAAAATCCGAGTATACAAAAAGAAAAAAGAAAAAAAGAAAATCGCGGCGCGAAATTTTTGAATCCAAAAACCGGAAGTCCTTAATCCGATTTTACGTATTCGGATTTTGAAAATCCGACTGCCTTTAATTTTGGTTGGTGGAAGTAGGCATGTGCCATAAATTGGAGGACCAAAAAATGAATAAAATAATCCGGAATTGACCAAACCCGGATTCAGGAAATTCGAGGCCACGGTGATTCGGATTTCTAAAATCCGAGTTACTTACGGACTCGGATTTTGTAAATTCGAGTTTAACGTGCTATAAAAGAAAAAAAAAGTTCAGACTGTTCTCATTCGAGAACTGAGTTGGATTTTCTGTTTTTGCAGTTCAAACAAGGGCGAATTGGAGCTTTTGATGCATTCTTGCCTCTAGATACGTGGGAATCGTTATTTGAAAGAGGTTAGATTGCAAAATCATGTTATTTAGTTTAGTTTTGTGTTATTTTGATTGTTAGAATGATGTATGATAGATTAGGGTTTATGTTGGTTGGTTGTTTGCATGTTTTAGGTGTTGATTTTGAGGTTAGAGAAGAAAAATCGTAGTTGTTCATGAGATATGGAAGTTGATTTATAAGTATTTTAGTATTTTATAGGTTTTTTGAATTATGAATGGAGTATGGATAGTGTATTTGTTGATTTTGTCATTAAGAAATGATTAATTATTGATGTTTATTTTTTTAACAGTTATCAATGGCACGTAATCTTCCCCCAATTCCAGAAATCCGGCGACTCCCTCCACTCCTCCCGGCGACCATCCACTCTTCCCGGCGACTCCCTCCTTCCTCCTGGCGACTCCTTCCACTTTTACCGGTGACCCTCCACAGAAATCCGGCGACTCCCTCCACTTTTCCCGGAGACCCTCCACTCCACTCCGGCGACTCCCTCCACCTTTCCCGGTGACCCTCCACTCCTCCTGGCGACTCCCTCTGACTCTCTCCACTCCGCCGACTCCTTCCACTCCTCCCGGCGACTCTGTGAAACTCACGGTAATTTATTTTCTCTTTAGTTTTTTGTTTTTCAATTTTTTTTCTTCAGAAATCCGAATGTAGTGAAATTGAAAAACAATGAGTTAGTTTGGTGTTAGTTTGGTGATTTTGAATGCCAATTCGGGAATCGTCGGTTAGTTGTGCGTCAGTTAGTTTGGTGATTTTGAAAAACAATGAGTTAGTTTACATTGGTGATAATATAGTCGGTTAGTTGTGTGATCAATTGATGAATATAAATGTTGATTTAAACGTGCCCGTGAGTTTGGTGTTAGTTGTGTGTTAGTTTGGTATTGTATATTGGTGTAACTAGTGCCTGTTAGTCGGTTTGATATTGGTGTAACTATATATTGTTACTTGTCTTTTTTGTGTGTTAGATATTGTGTATTAGTTTGGTTTGCGTTGAATTTGGCCAAATAATGAGTTAGGGCATTGATGTTTTCTTTGGTTACCTTGTGTAGGATTGAAATGGCGACGCCGGCATCGGGCTTGCAATATGAATATCAACCCAAGCATCTTCACCCAGGACCGATACAAGATAAAATGCTTTATCGTCAAACAAAGCATAGGTCTCAATCTGTCTATGAGAACAAGATACCGAATATTAAAACATTCCGCCTCAAGGGCCGTAGATACGACAACGATTTTTAGGGGATATACAAAAATACGACACCGGAGGTTAAGGAAGTCATTAAGAGAGCCGGTTTTGAGGGGATCATGAAAGTAGGCTACAAAAGAATGAATCTCGGTCTCATTACCGCGTTGGTGGAACGGTGGAGGCCAGAAACCCACACTTTCCATTTCAATTTCGGAGAAGCGACAGTGACACTACAGGATGTCGAGGTCCTCTTTGGCATTCGGGTGGATGGTGACCCGGTGTACGGTACGACAGTTAGCCGGACTGCAGATGAATGGCGGGATCGATGTGAGGCTTATTTGGGATTCCGGCCAGCCCAAGTAAATGGCCAATGTGTCAATGTTGGTATTTTCGAAGATGAGATGGGCCGCGCACTCCCTGAGAATTTCACTGTCCATCGATTCGAGCAAAGGGCCCGGAGACTTATATTGCATTTTATTAGTAGTTTCATGTTTCCTAACAAGACGCAAAACACTGTCAATCTGCAGTTCTTGGCTCAGATTGAGGATTTGGATCAGTGTAGTCGATACAGTTGGGGATCGACACTGCTGGCTGGTTTGTACTCTGGACTGTGCGAGGCATCACAGTACACCATGCACGACGCCACTGGCTGTCTATATTTGCTACAGGTACGTATTAGTTTTCAATTGGTGTTTTAGTTATTTTCCGCTTTCGACGTTATACTTTCAAGTATCAACATTATTATTGCAATTTACTAGGTATGGGCGTATGAGCGGATCGAGAGAATCGCGCCACAAAGAAAAGGAGTAGATTATTTGATTGATGAGACCGCTCCATTAGCTCAGCGGTACGTATTTTCAGTTCAAAATAACTCAATGTTTATTTCTATTTGTTTCTTATTCATTTTTTTTACTAATTCAAATGTACCCCTTTGTTCATTAAGGTGGGAATGTAGGTACACCTACGGAGACGCCCCAAGGAGCAGGACCCTACCTTTTAGAGATCAATTAACAAGCCTGCGTGTTGCGGACGTAAGTACTTATAATTTGGTATTTATATTTACTTTGAATTTCTTTTCGTTCCGGTTATACCATCTAATGAAATTCTTTTCGTGCAATTTCGGTGGCAACCATATGCACATGTCCTTCATAGACTCCCTGATTTCTGTACACAAGGCCAAGCCATTTGGACGACCAGGTGTTGGATGTTCTGTTGGGCTATTAGGGAACCTCACGAGTCGGGCAGAGTTGTGAGACAATTTGGATACATACAGGATGTTCCTAAGTGCCCTATGATTAAAGATAACACAGCATTCCTTCTCGATCACGCCCACAGTATGTCTGGGTATCCTAGCAACAATTGGGTGGACCACCATTCCGCAGTACGCGTCATTGGAATAGGAGAGAAGAGTATGTGCTACGAGATTTGGAGGAAGGAGACCCTGGCTCTGTATATAAGGGGTACTATGAGTGGTTCATGGTGAACACTGTCAGACTGATATTCAATCCCGCTAATTATGAACCTCAAGGATACGAGACTTCTTCGAGCCGAGTGAAATTATATGTGAGATCATTCTATATTTCTTTTATTATTTCTTATGTGTTCATTTTATTTTTTTTTTAGTTTTATTTTTTTAGAATTTTACTCTCTTAATTAACGTCCCAATTTCTTTTCAGGGTGAAGTATTGAACAACATTCGCGTGAGTACTGAGAAGTTTAGAGAAAAACGAGAAGATGAGAATCTCCTAGACAAAGAACTCGACAAGCATTTGGACGATATCATCAATCAAACACATGCTACTTTTATCCTAGGTACAAATGATAAGATGGAGGTGAAGGATACCTAAATCCTGGTTGATGAAGATCCATCTTTGCCCTCACAACCTCCGCCGGGTAAAAAAGCGAAACCGTGGTCGAGAGATAAGATTGGAGGAAGAAGAAAGAGTAAGGTCCCAATCCCCCCTCGGACATCGCAACAACAAACTGAGGGTCAACAAAATGAGGATCAAGCACATTCTTCTCGAGGCTCGGGCATCCAGGTCGAGACTCATTTTGAAGACGTTGGTGGACCCGAGACTCCGTTTGACCTAGGTGGACCCGAGACTCAGTTTGACCTTGGTAGACCCGAGACTCAGTTTGGTGGACAGTCGCAACCACAACCGGGAGTCAAATTTCTCACCATGGGGGAGTCCCAATCCCAACCCCAATCCGAGGCTCAGTTTGGTGGACAGTCGCAACCACAACAGAGTTTAATACTCACGTATCTTAAGAGGGAAGACGGGATCCGGCAGGGCCTAAATAAATACACTCTGGATGCGCACAATAAAGGAAAAGGAAAAAAATGAGACATTTCATGTATTTTGCACATTTAAAGTAGTTTTGTATTGATTTTGGTATGAAACTTGATTTGTTTTGTTGTTAATCGAATGCCATTTATTGTTTTGTTGCCATTAAATTTCTGTTTTCCAATGTTTCATTGTTGTTGGTGCTTTAAACAGGTTTAATCAGTCCAATTTTTTTTTTCAGTTCTGACATAGACTCGGATTTGCGAAATCCGAACTCAAACTTTTTGTAAAGGATTCGGATCTCATAAATCCGAGTATGTAGCCAACTGAGAGTTAGCATTTTTCAGAAAACAGAGGAGATTCGGATTTCGGTAATCCGAATCT